CCTTCCTTCCTTCCTTCCTTCCTTCCTCCCTCCCTCCCTCCCTCCCTCCGTCCCCCTCCCTTTCTTCCTTCTGAGGCAGTATCTCACTGTGTGTCCCAGGCTAGTCTCAAATTTATAGTTTTCCTAAACCCTAACCTTGGCCTCCCATGTGCACTATATCAAGCCTGTTCGGGTGTTTGCTTTTGTTTGGGGTTTTGGTTTTGAGTAAAGCCAGCTTAGAACTCTGGATCTTCCTGCCTCTGCCATGAACATCCTTGTTTATGCTAAGCTGTTTATTGACAGTCTCCCAAATACACACTGAACTTTGAGAGCAATATCCAGATGGGTCTTGCTCATTACATGTATATTTGAGATATCTAGTCAATGACTATTCCTCTAACTCTGTACTGTTTTCATTGTTAGAGTTCTATCTTAAGAGATTTGTAGCTGGGCAGTGGTGGCACACGCTTTTAATTGCAGCACTTGGAAGGCTCAGGCAGGTGGATCTCTGTGAGTTCAAGGCCAGCCTGGGCTACAGAGCGAGCTCTAAGACAGGCTCCAATGCTACACAGAGAAACCCTGTCTCAGAAAAAAAAAAAAAAAAGGGATTTGTGAATCCAAATTCTTTCAGTATATTTGTAAGCCTAACATTGTGTCATGTATGCATTTGATATACACACCTTATGAATGGACCCCCAAGTCATTAATAAGGTTGAGAATGTTATCTTGCCAATTGACCTATGAAAACACTCACACCTCTGCTACTCCCACATATCAATATATTGAAGATCAAAAAACAACATTGCCTAGCTTTCACTTTCAATCTTAGGAGGGGTATACAGGAACTTCTACCTCTATGAAGCCTTCCCTTACCTGGCACCAACCTCAACTCAAGCAGAACTGAATTATTCATCTATCTTCCTTACAATTATACCTTCCCTCACTTCACCGCACCATATTATAGTAATTGGTTAACAATTCTGTCTCTGTAAAAAGGCCAAGCTCTCTTAGAGAATAGAGATTCTTTAAGTTCCTTAAAGCCTAGCCCAACTACCAAAATTTTGTTAGCACTAAAAAATCTGAACATGCCTTGCAATTCAAATACAACAGTTCCTATTTCACAGTGTTGCCACATGAAGTCTGAAGATGTTTTAAATACACTTACCTGTAGCAAAAAGCAAGCTGCATAGCTCAATAGAGAAGGATGGTGGACTAAATTTAAGCTGTTTCTATACTCTGTTACTTCAGTATTTTCCAAGATTTGGGGATCAATGTATACTCCTTTTTCAAATGGTGTGGACATCCATAAGCAATGAACCATAACTGTCAAATAGTAATTAAATTCTTGACAGATCTTGCTGCTGAGACTGAACTCTGATTTTTCCTAACGGGAAAGAAATAAAATAGTCATTAACATCTATTAATCTTTTCCTCTTTATTCTTAACAGGTCCCATATATCTATACTCGGTTATTTATAAAAATGGTGATTTAACACAGATTTAACCTTCATACCTTCTTTAAAAGGTTGTTTTTCTTTGCAGCTGTCAAATTATTGCGATACCTAAGAATAAAAGCAAATATAATGAAGCATTTAAAATGTCATTGGATATAGTGCTTCTGAATGTAAAATAAAAATTTTAAAATATACATTTTAGGGCTAGAAAGATAGTTCCATTGGTAAAATACCTGCTGCAGAAGTGCAAGTACCTGAAATTGGATTTCTAACACCCCATGCAAAAACCAGGTTTGATTGCACGCATCCCTAACCCTAGCAATCTATATAAAAAAAAAGGTTTGGTTGCACGCATCCCTAATCCTAGCAATCCATATAAAAACCAGGTTTGGTTGCACGCATCCCTAACCCTAGCAACCCATATAAAAACCAGGTTTGGTTGCATATATTGCTGACCCTAGCACTGTGGGGGTTGATAGGAGTAAACAGACATAGACAGGTCTCTGGAGCTCTCCAGCTAGCTACTGTAGGCTGTCAGTGAGCTCTTGGTTCAGTTAGAAAACCTGTCTCAAAAATAAAGTGCAAAGTGATAGTGGAAGATACCTGACATTGACCTCTGACCTCCACAAGAATATTCATGAAAGTGCACCCACACAATCATGTATACAAATAAGAACATTTTAAAGTAAATAAATGCAAATGTGCACAAATACAAATATCTAATTATCTAGTTAAGGATTTTTCACTTTAATGGTACATTTTCCATAAAGAATTTTGAAAGTTAGGGTTTATAGGTAGAGTTTACTTGTATAGCATGCATGAGGCCCTGAATTCAATCATGAGTACTACAATAAAATAAATAAAAAGAGGCTCAAATTTAGTTGGAAGATGACAAGATAGCTCAGTGGGTAAAGTGCTTGCCATGAAGTCTGACCACCTGAGTTTGATCCCCAGAACGCATATAAAAGTATAAGGGAAGAACTAACCATACAAAGTTGTTCTCTGACCTCTACATACACACTGTGGCAATGCACATGCACACACATACATACACAGGACTGGTACATTTTTAAAGATTGAATCAGACATTTTAGATGTGCTCTTACTGTACATATAACTCAATAGAAAGAAAACAATGAAAGACATTTCATTATTAAAGCAAGCAGTCAAACACAGATATGGATACAGAACACATTTCCTTTATGAAAAACAAGGTACAGCAGGCCAGTGAGATAATTGAGCAGGCAAGGAAAGACTCGACATCAAGCCTGATGGCATGACCTTAATGCCTGGATCCCACATGGTAGAAGGAAATAACTGATTTGGAAGTAGTCCCATGACTCCAAATTTATTGTTTAACACACACACACACACACACACACACACACACACACACACCCCACAACCAACAACAACAAAAATCCCAAATAAATTTAAAAAAAGTTAAAAGGTACAGCTGAACAATGAAATCCAGAAATGTAATCTTTTTCTTATCTTAGAACTATCATCTAATTTCTACATATTTTAATACTGACAAAGCTCTACAAATTATGCTGAAATGGTTTTATACTTATGGATTAAAAATAATCTCAGTCCACAAGTAAAGAGCAAAAGGCTGGAAATAATGTTTAGAGGGTCACATAACTGGCAATAAATAGTTCCCATTGCCCCCCAGAAAATGTCCCTTTTACCAGAGAAACTTTATACACTTCAGCATATATCAACAAATGATTAATTTTTCTTTAACACACAGAAATTTTAATTAACAAAGCTGAATGCAGCAATGTCATTACATAACAAACCAATCCGAAGCAAAGACTTTTAATTCCATACACCCTACAGGGGGGATTTAAAAATAGCACAGCTCCAGTTTTAGAATTTTAAGGTACCACCATAAGGCAGCTTGAAATCACTTTTAAAGCAAAATATGCCAGACTCAGAAAGATAAATACCATGTTTTTTCTCATTTGTGGGCCAATACTTTATATAGACAGAAAACATCACTTACATATACATAGGACATGGAAGCAGAAGCAAGACTGGAGGAAGCAAGTGGACTAGCAGGAAAGAGGGAGGGGAGCAAATAAACCCAAAGAACATGATACGCTGCAATAAATATGTCCTTAGAAAAATCAGCACTATTTGCAATGAGGATACTACAATAAAAATTTAAAATAATAAGCTGGGCTGTGGTGGTACACACCTTTAATCCCAGCACTCAGGAGATAGAGGCAGGTGGATCTCTGTGAGTTTGAGGTTATCCTGGTCTGCAGAGTGAGTCCCAGGACAGCCAGAGCTACACTGAAAAACTCTGTCTCAAAAAAGAAAAATAAATAATAAAAACAATAACATAGATATTAGAGCTTCATATAAGAAGGTCATATACGCAAAAAGCCATGTTTCCTATGTCGATAGGCCCTGACAGAAAATTGATAGGAATTTTAATTTTGTTATAATTAAATGATGAAGATAGAATTATGATGTAATCATTTATAAAATGATTTAAAGGAAGAAGGGGGCTTGTACCTGTATATAATGTAACAAAGTTGGTTCAAGATACTGGCATCCAGGCTCAGGAGTGCAGAATGGAAGATTGCAGTAGGAAATAACACCAATATTGGAAGATCATAACTTATATATATGTTACACACCTTTTGGAAACAATGTTAATATCAATATATAGATTATTTTCCACAAATCAATGAATTTACTCGAAGAATCATCAATACAAGTTAAGTGATAATATATCATCACATTTGAACCTGTCTAATTCTCCCACATATTCATTTACCGTAATCAGTTAACTGGCAACTTGGAAAACAAAGGAGCATTCTTATAAACAAATTCATAATATAGGCTGGAGATAAGTGCCAGTGGGCAGAATGTTTGTCTACCACAAACAAGGCCCTGGTTTTAATCCCCAGCACCATATAAACTAGGAGTGGTGATATAAACCTTTAATCCCAGAAATCCAAGACAGGATCAGAGCTTCATCAGTGTGTTAGCTAGTTTTATGTCAACCTGATATAAGCTAGAATCACTTGGGAATAGGGAACCTCAATTGAGAAAAGGGCCCCACCAGACTGGACTATGGGCAACCCTATGGTGCATGTTCTGGATTGATGATTGACGTGGGAGGGCCCAGCTCACTGTGGATGATGCAACCTCTGGGCTGTAAAAATATCATGCTGAACAAGTCATGAGGAGCAAACCAGTAAGCAGCATCCCTCCATGGCCTCTGCATCAGCTCCTGCCTCCAGGTTCCTGCCTTGAATTTCCTTCATGATAGACTGTGTGACTGGGAAATATAAACTGAGCTGAACTGTTTGCTCCCCAAGTTGGTTTGGTCACGACGTTTTATCACAGCAATGGAAGCCCTAACTAAGACACTTGGCGGCACATCAAATTGTAGCCACCTTGGGCTACATAAGACCTACTTCAAAACAAACAAAAAATCAACTAGGTATTAGTGAATGAAGAGAGACAACTGATTATAATGGGTAATTTGTGGTGGTGACAGTTCTACCCATGTTAAATCTTATAAAACAGTAAAAGGATTAGAATTATAAAGTTACTAGGTAACAGAAAAAATTAAGCACTTGAAAGTCAGGAGTACAAATCTGAAAAAGCAATATAACCCTTTTTGTTCTGCCAGAGGATGGGGATAAAAAATAGATCAAAAACGAGAAATGATGTTAGATACAGACTTCTGCCTAGGACCAGCTTTTTAATAGGTCAGTATATTATAAAATAGTATCTGAACTAAAGACCAACCAGATTTTCTACTACAATTGTTCTATGAAAGTCAGTTACTCAGGTGAAAATAAACCATTAATTTCAAAACGGGGTTATTTTAAGCTACATAGTAAGGTCATAACTTACCTTCACGATTATACTTGAAATTTAAAACTCACAGGCCAATAAAGTGACTATCATAAATTTGTGATTTGTATACTACCTTCTCATAGAAGTCCAAAATAAAGTGCAACAACAATGTACTGTTGCTCTCCAAGCGTATTGCAATCACGGACAGCCAGCCTACGTAGTCAATCAACTGAACCACAGAGTCCATGGATCCACCCAAAGTTGTCTCCCTGTAATAAGAAATTATAATACTCAGATACACACCAGCAAAAGTGCTCAGTGTCCAAGGTAAAGGTAGGCAATATAAAGCAATAAATGGATATGGAATTAAAAAGCTATCCATTCTCCAATGTACAATTCACTTTCTTTTACAAAAATAAAAGCACAGTGATTAACCATAGTATTGTATTGTGGTTAGTCCACCAACCTAGATGTCCCTTAACCAAAGAATGGTTAAAAAAATGTGATATGTTTACACAGTGGAGTATTACTCAGATATTAAAAATAATGGCATGATGAAATTCAAAGGCAAATGGATGGAACTAGAAATATCATCCAGAGAGAGGTTAACACAGAACCAGAAAGGCACACGTATGGCATGCACTCACTTACCACTTTGTGGGTAAACTGGGGGTGTGTGGGGATGGGAACAGGAGGAATCTAGGGGGGGGAGGCAGAGAATACTGGAAGAAACAACTGGAATTGGGGGCATTTGGGGTGATGTAGAAACCTAGTGCGGTGGAAATGCCCTGGAATCTAGGACAGTGACTCTAGTGAAGTCTCCTAGTAACGGAGGATATGGAGCCCGAACTGGCCATCTGCTATAACCAGGCAAGGCTCCTATTACAATAGGTCTGGGACATCTACCCAGCCACAAAACCTTCAACCTACCATCTGTTCCGCCTAGAGGATATACTGGGGCAGTGGAGGCATAGACCTTGTGGAAATGTCCAACCCATCACTGATCCAGCTTGAGGCCCATGACACAAGAAGTAGTCCATGCCAGACACTGCCTTGATGACCAAGAACCAGAGGCTGGAAAGCCCAGAGATCCAGGATAGAACAAATTTGACTGCAAAAATGGAAATAATTTCTAATAATATTCTGCTATACTTATGGATTGGTGTCTAGCCCCAATTGTCATCAGAGGGGTATTATCCAGCAACCAATGGGAACAGATGTAGAGACCCACAGCCAAACACTAGGTGAAAACAGGGGAACCCTGCAGAAGAGGAAGAAGGACTGTAGGGGCAAGAAGGGACTAAGACATCACGAGAACAAGGCCCACAGAAACTGAAACAACAAACACAGATCCTATATGGGTCTGAGCTAGGTCCTCTCATATACCTTATGGTTGTATAGCAGGATGCTTTTGTGGGACTCCCAACAATGGGAGCGGGAGGTGTCTCTAACTCTGTTGCCTATGCCTGAGACTCTTACTTCCTTCTACTGTGTTGCCACATCCAGCCATGATTGGAGGGTTTGCGCCCAGTCGTATTGTATCTTGTTAGGCCATGTTCAGTGGATATTCCTAGTAGGCCTGGTCTTTTTTTAGGAGGAGTTGATTTGGGTGAAAAGGAATATGGAGGAAAGGACTGGGAGGAGTAGAGGAAGGGAAAACTGCAGTCAGGATGCAATGTATGAGAGAAGAATAAAAGTTAAAAACAAACTAAAAAGCACAGTGATTACTCTTAGTATTTATTTGTTTGTTTGTTTATTTATTTATTAATTGAGATAGGGCCTCTTACTATGGAGCTCTGGCTGTCCTGGAACTTACTACTATATAGCCAGGCTAGCCTTGAACTCAGATCTGCATGCACCACAATGCTCAGCACTCTTGTCTTCTAAGGAACCAGTAAGATGAACTCATATAGCCAGGTGATGGTGGTACATGCCTTTAATCCCACTTGCTTGGGAGGCAGAAGCAAGGGGATCTCTGTGAGTTTGAGGCCAACATGGTCTACAGAGCAAGTTCAAGGACAGCCTCTAAAGGCACATATAGAAACCCTGTCTCGAAAACAACAAAAAATAAAAATGAAAAATAAAAACCCCTCATACATAGCCCATGTGGTGGCATATGCCTTTAATCCTGGCACTTAGGAGGCAGAGACAGGTGGATTTCTGTGATTTTGAGGACAGCTTGGTCTACAGAGTGAGTGCCAGGACAGACAGCCAGGGCTATACACAAAGAAACTCTGTCTCAAACAAACAAACAAACAAACAAACAAACAAAAAATTGAACAAAAAAACTATCAACTCAGAACATTTCAGCAACCAGATTCTATTAGTAAATTTGATAAGAAAAGAAAAAGGATTAAGTTTCAAGCAAATTCTGGATAATGTTACAATACTGAAAAACAAATGCAGTCAATATATTTGTCTCTAGTAATTGGTTAATACTGAGTTCTAACACTCCTCAATTATGGAAATCTCTTAGTGAAAAATGAACAAAAATTATTAATAATGGGTGTTCAATAAAAATCCAAAGAAATGAGTTCATGACAAAGTGACACAACATATTCAGAAAAATTAAAAATGAACAAAATGATCAGTAGGAAAATGATGGTAAGAATCATTTCCTATGCATTAATAATATGGCCGCACACTGAATGAAACCCATAGTACAGGAATCAATATCCAGTTCTGCATATTCCTCAGTAAAGCATTTTCACCAGAATTCAATCTATCCCGAAAACTGAATAAGCAGAATGTTAGCATATTTCAATCTTCTAGTTAAAACTATATCCAGGGTTTGGAGAAATTGCCCAGCAGTTAAGACTACTTGTTGCTCTTGCAGAGGACCCAGAGTTCAGTTCCCAGCAGCAGCAACAAGGTAACTCACAACTATCTGTAACTCCTCTTTTGGTCACCATGTTCTACACAGACATAAATACCAGTAAAACACCCATACACATATAAAATCTGGTTTTATTGTATTCTCTACTAAGTCAGTAATATAATCTCTTTAAACAACACAATATAGTGAGTAGTTCAATCAATTTCTCACATGTATCTTTCAATCCACAGTTAAAGATTTAGAAAAGATCTACAAATTTGAACTCATATTTTTACCCTCCTATCTGGGTAGGTGGTTACAATGGTTCTGCACTGAAAAAAAAGGATAATGTATAATAATGTACAGTCTGTGATAATATATAGTCTCAGGGTTTAGGAGATGATGACTCTCTCACTATTCACTACCATGATAGTTCAGTGACAGAAGCAGGGAAATATTAGAGACCATTTAACAAAGCACATTGTTTACTTGCAAAACTGAAGTAGCACAATTGAGACTTCGCAGGACTTCACAAATGTGCCACAAATTATTGCAAACAATGATGACTGCTCCCAGCAACCTTTTCTTTTTAATGTGGTGCTGGGCATACAACCGAAGTCTTATTGCATGTTAGGCAAGCACCCTGCCACTGAGCCACACCCTCAGCCCCAGAGCAGACTTGTTGGTGAGAGCTTCTTTATAAATCACTGGTGTTCTAAAGAAGATAATCCATGGTTTAAAAGTGCCTTAGAACCCTGCCCCCACCCCTGCAGTATGTTCAGCGTTCCCAGATGCCAGCTCTTAAATGATAACAGAACCCTCTGTCCACCAGTCATTGTCACAGCCAGAAATGTCCCCGGAAAATGATAGTGAGATGCTCTTCTACACTTCTCTTCTTAGGATCTATCACAACAGTTTACTCTCTTCTAGTCACTTACATGGCAAATGGTCATATAATAGAAATACAATATTATACTAATTTTTCCAAAATGAATTACTGAAAACTTATAAGCTATATTGAACTCCTGTGTGTTTCTTTTACTAATTATTGTGTGTACACACACGCACAGGCATACAGGTCACACTGCACATGTGTGGTCACAAGACAATTCTTAGACGTCTGTTCTCTCCTGGTATCTTGTGGGATCTTGGATTTGAATTCAGGTTGTAAGACCTACACTCAAGCACCTGCTAAGCTACCTCATCGGCACACGGTGATATTATTTAATTCCAAATAGTATGGCAAGGTTATCTAGACACATGCCCGTTTATCTGCTTAAAGGGGCTTAAAAAGCACTATTCCTTTTTAGATGGTCTCCCTAAAATTTTGAAAAAAATCTGGGCTACGAATTTAGTACAATGTTTCCCCAGCATGAATAAACACTGGAATTGATTCCTAGCACCATATAAACTAAATATGGTAGTCTACACGTACAATCCTAGCACTTAGAAAGCACTTTAGGGAGGATCAATAGTTCAAAGCCAGCCTCAGCTACACGATAAGTTTGAGGGCCACTTGTGATACATGAGACCCTGTCTCAAAAAAATAATATAAAATGAAAATGATAGTTGGGCCGGAGAGATGGCTAAAAAGGGTAAAGCATTTGTCATGTAAGCCTGACAACCTGAATTCAAACCTCAGAACCCATATACAGTGGAAGGAACACATCAACTCCACAACATTGCCCCCTGACCCTCCCACATACTGGGCATGCATGTGTATACAGGGGCATACATATATAAATACAGAGATTAATAATAAATATTACAAAATTTTTAAACTGTTAACTTTATGTATCATAGCAACACCACTGTAACAGCTGAGATACTATCTGGGTTTCACTAAAGAATAATCTAAAGAAAAAAAGAATAAGGAGAAAAGAAAACAGTGAAATGCAGTTTGGGGCTGGAGAGATGGTTCAGCAGTTAAGAAAATGCACTGCTCTTCCAGGGATCCTAAGTCTGGTTCCCAGTGGGTGGTTCACAATCATCAGTAAACTTTAGCTCCAAGGGATCCAACACCGCTGGCCTCCAAGGGCACCTGAGCTCACATATACACATGTACACTCATATATTTATTACAACACAAAATTCTTAAAGAGAAAACCACAGCCAGATGGTGGTGGCTCATGCCTTTAATCCCAGCCCTCAGGAGGCAGAGGCAGGTGGATCTCTGTGAGTTCGAGGCCAACCTGGTCTACAGAGCAAGTTCCAGGACAACCTCCAAAAGCAATACAGAGAAACCCTGTCTTGAAAGAAAGAAAGAAAGAAAGAAAGAAAGAAAGAAAGAAAGAAAGAAAGAAAGAAAAAGCCACTAAATTGAGTTGATAACTGTTGAAACTGGATGATGGATATATAAGTGTAGTGGTTAATCTTGATTGTTAGCTTGATAAGATCCAGAGTCAGCATGGAAACAAATCTCTAGATATGTCTGTGAGAGATTATCTAGATTAGCTTAACTGAGGCATAGGAAAGCTCACCCTAAATGTAGGTGGCATTCAGGGTTGGGGTCCTGAGCACAAGCATTCCTTGTTCTCTGCTTCCTGAATATGGGCAGACCAGCTGCCTCATGCTCCAGCCACCATGTCCTCCCCACCCTCAGGAACTGTACCCTCAAAGAGGAGCAAGATAAGCACTCCCTGAAGTCACCTTGTTAAAGTAAGAGGAAAACTAACAAGGTGCATGTCTTCCAGACACAGACGCAGGGAAGTCTAGGTTTTCCTGCATCTGCTAAAAGAACACACAAAGCCCTTGCTTCCTGATTCTGAATGTTAAAGCTCAATGTGATATCAGCATGTGTGAGGCTACAGGGTCAAACACCCAGGAAGCAGCTTGACGGCTTTCCTCATCTGGGTAGTCCTTCCTTCCTTCCTTCCTTCCTTCCTTCCTTCCTTCCTTCCTTCCTTCCTTCCTTCCTCCCTCCGTCCTTCCCTCCCCCCTCCCTCCCTCCCTCCCTTTCCTCTCCTCTCTGTTCCTTGTGAATAAAGTCATAACTGTTGACCTGAGATAAGACGTTGCCAGAGCCAATTGGATCTGCCAAGTGAGTGGGAACGAGGATGGTGAGCTCACACACACACACCGTCAGGGGCCTGTTAGCACAAGAGCTGGCTCAGAGTTCAGTGACTTGATGGGGATGGGGTTGGGGGTTCATTTTCTCACTGAAGACTGGCCAGAGTCATACGGTCTTGTGTGTCAGAGCAAACAGCAGTGGAACACCTTTAATTCCAGCACTTGGGAGTCAGAGGTAGGTGGATCTCTGTGAGTTCAAGGCCAGCATGGTCTACAGAGCGAGTTCCAGGACAACCTCCAAAAGCAATACAGAGAAACCCTGTCTTGAAAGAAAGAAAGAAAGAAAGAAAGAAAGAAAGAAAGAAAGAAAGAAAGAAAGAAAAAGCCACTAAATTGAGTTGATAACTGTTGAAACTGGATGATGGATATATAAGTGTAGTGGTTAATCTTGATTGTTAGCTTGATAAGATCCAGAGTCAGCATGGAAACAAATCTCTAGATATGTCTGTGAGAGATTATCTAGATTAGCTTAACTGAGGCATAGGAAAGCTCACCCTAAATGTAGGTGGCATTCAGGGTTGGGGTCCTGAGCACAAGCATTCCTTGTTCTCTGCTTCCTGAATATGGGCAGACCAGCTGCCTCATGCTCCAGCCACCATGTCCTCCCCATCTACCATGAGCCAAAACCCCTTCCTTCCTTAAGTTGTTTTTGTTAGGATTTTTTGTTGTTGCAGCAAGAAAAGTAATATACTAGGGGTTGGTAACATTGTACTCTGTGTGTGTGTGTGTGTGTGTGTGTGTGTGTGTATGAGTGTATGTGTGAGTGTGAGAGTGTGAATGTGAGAGTGTTTGAGTATGTGTGTGTGTGTGCATGTGAGTGTGTCTGAATGTGTGTGTATGTGTGTGCATGTGTGTGTTTGTGTGTGTGCATGCGTATGTGGTGTCATGTGCATGTATGTGCATGTGTATGTGAGTGTGTGTGTGTGTGCATGCGTATGTGAGTGCATGTGCATGTGTGTGTTTGTGTGTGTGAGCATGCATATGTGAGTGCATGTGCATGTATGTGCATGTGTATGTGAGTGTGTGTGTGTGTGTGTATGAGTGTATGTGTGAGTGTGAGTTTGTGAATATAAGAGTGTGAGTGAGTGTGCATATGAGTGTGTCTGAATGTGTGAGTGTGTATGTGTGTGTATGTGAGTTTGTGTGTGTGTGTATGTGTGTGTTTATGTGTGTGCATGCGTATGTGAGTGCATGTGCATGTGTGTGTTTGTGTGTTTCTATCTTTGGAATTTATTATCTATATATAATTTTAAAAGTATTTACTCATTCCTTGGGAATTTCATACAATGTATTTTGATCATATTCACCATCTCCTCCCCTTAACTCCTATCTCCCTGTGCCCTCTCAACCTGATATTTTCCTTTTTTAAATTTTTATTCATTTATATTTTATGTATGAATGCTCTGCTTATATACCTGCATGCTAAAAGTGGACACCAGATCTCATTACAGTTGGTTTGAGCCACCATGTGGTTGCTGGGAATTGAACTCAGGTCCTCTGGAAGAGCAGCCTGTGCTCTTAACCACTGAGCCATCACTCCACCCCCCCCCCTTTTAATTTAATAAGCATCAACTCCAATTTGTGCTGTCCATATACCTCTGGAAGAAGGGTCATTCACTGGGGCATGGTCAGCCTACCAGGAGCCATACACTTAAAGTAGCTGTACTGTCCTCAGCTACTCAGGGGTGGAGGCTCCATGTGAGCATATTGACTGGCTTGCTCTTGTGCAGGTCTTATGCAAGCAACCATGGTTGCTGTAAATTCATAAGTGCAGTGGCCCTGTCATGTTCAGAAAAAGGTCCTGCTTCATTCCAGTCCACCCAGACCTCTAACTCTTACAGTCTTTCCACCCCTCTTACACTATGGTCTCTCGTATCTGTACTTTTAATTATGCTTACAATTTTCTATAATATAAACTTTTTAAAGCACTAAAGAATCATGTGGCTGATAGGATAAAAGACAATCCAAATAGACAGAAAGAATCAAAATAACCTGATTATGCAGTTCTTTGAAATGTAGTCTTTCACTTTGAGGGTAAAGCATACATTTAATGGAAATTGAAATTCATTTTTAACTCCAAAGCCAAGATAAATTAGTGCATGTAACCAAAATACATCCCATGAATAAAACCCATCATTAAAATTGGCTCAACATATATAAAAATTGTATTATATAAAGTGAATTAAAGTAAATTAAATTAAAGTATTACCTAAGGGTGCCAAGTCATTCAAAGGGGTTGCTTTTTGGTTTATCTAAATAGTAACTTGGAAAATTTATTTTTCTTTCAGGATTGTGGGAATGAAATGTGAAGAATAAAACATTTCCAGAAAAGTTCTACTAAATGTTTACATGAAATAATTAAGTCTCATGCCATAATATTAGATTCTATATGCAAACATTTTTATATCGATCATCTCTGTGTAACACCACAGGATAACTCACAGAGGACTGCTTGTCACCGGTTGCACGTGATCATCCATGGAAAGCCACAGCAGCCAATTCTGAAGTAGTTCTGTCAGACTTTGTAGAACACTACACTGAGGGGGGAAACAGAACAAAACAAAGTCATCCAAAGCAAACAGTATTTAGACCTAACAGAGGCTACACATGGAAGAGACCCTGGAGATGGCCATATCCCACTTAGAATTCAAACAGTTGCTACTCCAATATGTACAGTCTACAAAGGACAGATGGCTGCAAATACAGATTTATGTTACCATTTTTTTCTAGAAGAAACATACCTCAACAAGACTTCCAGCTTAGTCAGCAACAGAGTTTTCTCTAAATCACACTCCTTTATAACACATATTGCATCATCAAATAAACCATCACCCTTGGCCACGCATGATGGCACAAATCTATAAATGCCAGTACTTAGGAGGTAGAATTAGGGAGATTCAAAATTAGGGAGTTCAAAACTAGTGTAATCTACATATCAAGTATCTAGCCTGGGCTACATAAGAAGACTATCTCAGAAACAAAATCATCCTTATTGTCGCCTCAGAGATCATTTGAAGTTGTTACAAGTAAGAGTTCTCTACCCCTTTTGCTTTGAGATCTTTGAATACGAAAAGATCCTTTTTGATGGTTTTAAAAACAAATCTTCTGTAACTCTGGAAAACAAACATTTCTAATCCTTATGTTGTCAGACTTTACCCTGCCTTTCCAGGGCCTAATTCACAATTCCTTAACTATCTTCACTGAGTTCTTGATTCATTTGCCATTCCCTTTTCTCCTTATCCCTATCCCCCACTCTCAAACACAAATAGATGTATGGACAAATGAATGTATACTTGCATAGTAGGTTAAATCATAAACAACTGCTAGTTACCAACCACCCTGACCTACAAAAATGACAACTGCCTACAGTTCAACCAAATGTCCATAGTTAAATAGCCTTTAGATTGGTGTGATGAGTGAAGAAATTAAAAAGAACTCAGTGAGATTAGAAGAGAATTGCAAAAAAAAATCTTTTTTTCAAAATAGCCTCTGAAAATTTTTTAGCTAGGATAACTGGAATTGTCATTTGAATGGCAGTAGTTATAAGCAGTAAGCTACAAGTAATATAAAATTAGCAAATTCAAGTTAATGTGATAGGCAATAAAGTGATATGCAACAAATTATGAGAAATACTAACCACAACAACTTATTTTTCCTATAAATGTGGTCAATATTGAGCCATTGAAGGTATAAAACATTTGTAAAAGGAAGATTCTACCGTCATTGCTCTCAAAGAGGAATGAGCATTGGAAAGGAATGTGGCTCAAGGAGTTTTGTTGGCTTTGGTTGCTACTGCTCTCTCAACAGTTGTGAGGAAGAGTTAGAGCAGAGCAACTGCCTCATCCTAATCCTAGGGCCTGGGAAGCTGAGGCAAAAACACAGATGCAGATGAAAGGTCATCCTTAGTTCCAGGAAAAGCTGGCCTACATAGTTAGACCCTGTCTTAACTTCACATCCCCACATCCCCAAAACCCTTACAAAATGGTAATTAGAATATTTATGAGATAAATAAGCACTATGTTCAAATATCTGACAATGCTTTATGATAAAACTACCCTTACATTCTAAGCGACTGGGACTTTGGCTGGACCTCACAGTCTGAGTTAATAACACACACTGAGGTCACTTAAAACTTGAAGACTGGTAGCCAAGGATGGATCCCACCTGTTTGTTTATCCTGCCTTTATGAGAACAATGTAACAATCAACCTTACTTGCCTTGGACTTCCCATGTCAGCTGATTTTACAACCTGAACTAGTCCATAGCTGTGACTTTATGTACTTTTCCATGCCCCCATCCCCTGCCAACCCAGAACAATGTATGTGGGTTTTTTTTTGTTTTTGTTTTGGGTTTTTGCTAAAAGCAGCAAGTACAGAGATGAATAGCCACCATAAATGTTGTACACAAGGCTTATGGATATTGGTTGATAAACAATGATATTTGTAGTTATGTTTGTCTGGCTCAGTTGGAACCGGTGGCTTAATTCCTTGTAAAACTCTCTTAAAGAGTTCAGTAAAGTACCATATTCTTGCTCTTGGTTAAATGACTCCAAGGGGAAGAATTTTTATTTCTTATATTTTTGGTTGTGAGCCTAGCCTTTAATGGCTGAGCTATCCCTCCAGCCCGAAATTTTATTTCTTTAATGTGATACTGATGTGTTGCTGGTGATTTGGAGTTAAGAACAATGCATTTAATCCACACACCAAAGTATAAAATAGAAAACTCCAAGTATGATTGAGTATTTCCCAGTTGGTTTGTTTTTACATTCATGTTAATACGAATTTGATACATTTTTCATGATCTCACTTGCTGCTTACTAGTGTAAAAAATTCAGGAAAAAAAGTGACAGAGCTTTCAAACCAGAAAGTTCTATGCACTTGAACTTTATAGTCCATAATACAGTACAGTTACAAAATCAATGCAAAGGCTAGGTGTGGTGAGTTATACCTTCACTCTTGACACAGGGGAAGTAAGGGCCAGGAGGACTGCTGTCAAGCCTTGTCTATATAACAAATTCCAGGCAGGCCTAGGCTACAATAACTAGCAAATCCTTATAGCAAAAAAAAGAGAGACAGAGAGAGGGAAAGGGGAGAGAGAAAGGGAGGGAGGGAGAGACGAAGGAAGGAAGGAAGGAAGGAAATCACTGCTGGAGGACTACAGGTACATTTTACTTAGTAGAATGCTTGCCTAGTGTGTATGAAAGCCTGGGTTTGATTCCCTATCATTACAGAAACTGGGCATGGTAGTGCATGACCGTAATCCCAACCCTCAGGAGGTAGGGGCAGGAGGATCAGAAGTTCAAGGTCATCTACATCTACACATAAAATTAATTGAGTTTGAGTCAGACTGGGCCACATGATACTCTATTTCAAAAAAGAAAAAAATGAAAAGGGGAAAAAAAGGGGAGGGGAAGGGGGAGGGAAAGGGGAGGGGAAGGGGAGGAGAAGGGGAGGGGAAAGGAAAAGGAGGGCAGGTAAAATGACCCAATGGGTAAAGGAACTTGCTCCCCAGCGTGATGATCTCAGTTGTAGCCCCAGGACCCACATGGTGGAGAAAACCACAAGATGACCTCCAAAATCCCATGCCATGACTTATGCATTGTGACACACACACTAAATGTTACAAAATTTCAAAAGACAAGAAAGAAAATCACTACCAGAACTCCAGCTTGGAATTTTTTTAACATCAGTTAATAGAAGTATGTTGTTTTTTTTCCTGAGTAAGATGTATTTAGATTTTTTGGTTTAGGGATTTTTACCTTGAAATAAATGGTTGATGTAAAGAAGAGAGGTGCTAGATGATCAAAAAAAAGTGGCTTCACCTCTAGGAAATAGAAAATAAAAGTATTCAAAATTGTTTTAATTTATATTACATTGAATTAAATGAGTTCAAGCTGTGGTTCAAATGAGAATTTCCCCTTAAGCTCAGGCATTTAAAATCATGGTCCCCAGTTGGTGGCACTGTTCATGTAGGCTTAGGGAGTCTTGGCCTTGGTGAAGGAAGTATCTCACTGGAGGTGGCCTTTAAGGTTTCAAAGCCTAACATCATTCCCAGTCAACACTGCTTCACGCTTATGGTTTACGATGCCCTTAGAGTCCCTGCCCCACCTCCATGCCTTTGCTCTACTGTCATGGATTCAAACCCTTGGAACCATAAGCCAAAATAAACTCTTTCAAAGTTGCCTTGGTCATGGAGTTTAATCACAGCAAAAAGAAAAGTAACTAGTAAGTTTTCATGGTACATACCAGAGAAGCTAATGAATGGAATCCAGGTCAAAAGCTGAAGGAACTGTGACCGACAAGAAAAGCCATCCCAGAGAGGCAGGCTCTTATACAGGAATGCTTCACAGGAGTAAAACCCCTCCTGAAACACAGGGTGATTGCAAAATTTCACGTAGAAGCATGAATATTCTTAGCCAGGGAGTGGAAGTGCACACCTTTAACCCTAATACTCAGGAAGCAGAGGCAGGCAGATCTCTTGAGTTCGAGGCTAGCCTGGTTCCAAGACAGTAGTGCTACACAGGAAAACCCTGTCTCAAAAACCAGCAAATGAAAAACATTTTCTTTGAGTTTGAGGACAGCCGGGTCTACAAAGCAAGTTGTAGGATAGCCAGGCTGTTACACAGAGAAATCCTGTCCTGAATAAGCAAAAACAAACAAAATAAAATCCCAAGACATCTGGCAATTGAGTCACGTCTTTAAACCCAGCACTTGGGCGGCAGAGGCAGGAAGATCTCTGAGTTCAAGGCCAGCCTGGTCTACAGAGCGAGTTTCAGGACAGCCAGGGCTGTTACACAGAGAAACCCTGTCTCAAATTAAAAATCACACACATTCTCTAACAACCACTTTATTTTGTGTAATAGTTATTTCAGATGCACGAGAGTATATAGACAGTGCGAACACATGAATTCTAGCTTCAGTTGCAACTCAGAGATGCCCATGTCATATGCTGGAGCTGGAGCTCAGTCAGAATACGTGTCTAATTCCAGAACCACCTAAACTGGATGTGGTTGTGCACACCTGTAATCCCAGCATTCAAGGGGTAGAACTAGGACAATCTAATTAAGAGTTCAGAGTCATTTTCAGCTATGTACTAACTTTAAGGCTAACCTGGGCTAAAGAGGCCCTGTCAAAGGATTAAGAAATTAATTAAAAAAAACACAAATCATGGGCTGAAGATATGGATCAATGGTATGTAAGTGCTCACCTAGCATGCAAAAGGCTCTGGATTTGATTGCTAGTCCTAGCCCCAACCTCCCCCCAAAAGAACACAAATAGTAACCCTCTAAGATTTATAATCCTGGCTAATTCATTTAACTGAATGCATTAAATCATTTATTTCCTTAAAATTAGAATGCTTTCCACTACTTAAAATTTTCAACTTATTCTTTCTTCAAACATAATAGTGCAAAATTAAACATCAGTCCAACTTGGCTCTATGAATTTCAAATTGAGCAAATAGTGTTTTTTGAAAAAGCCAAGAATAAGGAAAACATAAGTAAAAATAAAAATCAATGGCATCAGGTAGTAGGGCTTAGGGTATGGTTCAGTTGGTAGACCTTAGTTTGATTTGCCAATACTTCAACAAATCAGATGTGGTGGTACATGTCTGTGACACATGAAACCCTATCTCCAAAACTGAAAATGTCAGGTGCTAAAGAAAATACTACAGTGAACATCCAAGCAAATCTTAAGAATGATGGCATCTGTAGGAAACAAATGGAATCTTACTTGTAAGAAGCACTGCACCCTGATGACAATGTCCAGGAAGTTTGTAAATTCTTTTTCTTGTTCATAATTATTTATATTATACCATATACATTCTAGAGCAGAAATATTAAAAATAAGCAAGTGGTTATGCAATAATAAGAACAATACAAAATATATCACTACTCTGAAGTGACAAAGAAATGACAGATTTAAAAAGTTGTAAGATTTGAATATCCTGCCTAAGTGACATTATAGATTATAACAAGGATTTGGAAGTGATGGTCAGCAAACATGATAACATAGGGGAAAGTTTATAGTAAAATCACTGGAAAGGTTCACTTAAAATGAATGAGATTAGCTTCAAGTCACAGTAATCCAAGTGATTATAAATGCACAGCTGAAAATAGGTAGGTGAGTTGAGTAAGATACAAGTGTTGAGAACATACAGAGTGAAAATCTACTTGATTGTATCACATATCCCATAAAGAAAAACTCTAAGTCAAAGGAGCAATAGACTCTAGTGACTAAAACTGACTTCAAAGATTTGAATAGTCAGGAATTACATATCCAAGAAATAAGCTCTCTTGATAGTCAACCAAATTACTAGGGAAAATGTCACTGTGGATGAATGAAGTGCCGAGGATTTACTATGGCCTGCAAGAAAGACTCCCCACTGTCACTTCCTTTAATTCCATAATTAAGAAAATTTATAGTGACCAATGTGTCATTAAGAGGAGGTAGTCTACTTGGCACAAATGAGCACTTCTGTCATCAGAAAGACCACTTCTACTATAAAATAATAAGTTGATGACTAACTATATAGGCCACCCTATAGCCTTCATCCAGCAGCTGATGGAAGTAGAGGCAGACACTCACAGCTAAACACTGAGCTGAACTCTGGAATCCAGTTGCAGAGAGGGAGGAGTGATGAGCAAAGGGGTCAAGACCAGGCTGGAGAAACCCACAGATACAGCTGACCTGAACAAGAGGAAGCTCATGGACCCCAGGCTGATATCTGGGAAACCAGCATAAGACTGATCCAGACCCCCTGAACGTGGGTGCCAGTGAGGAGGCCTGGGCAATCTATGGGGCCTCTTGTAGTGGATCAGTACTTATCCCTAGCATAGGAATGGATTTTGGGAGCCCATTCCACATAGAGGGATACTCTCTCAGCCTAGACACAGGGGAGGGTCTAGGCCCTGCTCCAAATGGTATGACAGACTTTGAAGATTCCCCCATGGAAGGCCTCGCCTTCCCTGGCGAGCAGAAATGGGATGAGATAGGAGATTGGTGGGGAGCAGGGGAGAAGGGAAGGGAGAGGGAATTGGGATTGACATGTAAAACAAGCTTGTTTCTAATTTAAATAAAATCTTAGAAAAATTTAAAAAAAAAACAAAAAAGTAAAAAAAATAATAAGTTGATATTATGTCCTATAAATTGATTTTCTGAGTTGGCTTAATAGTAATGACTCTTGTATGTTCTCAGGAATACAAAGAACTCTGAGATTGAGACCAACCATCTGGCAAGTTTTGATGACCATGTAGCATTGTTCACCTAACACCACTCCATTTTGATTGTCTTAAAATGATAATACCACAAGTATTCATGTCCAAGATACATAATTACCAGATAATTATAGTATAGGAAGACTCCTCTGGTCTAGAATTTTTTTTTATTCTTTTTCTTTTTTAAAGATTTATTTATTTATTATGTATACAGTGTTCTGTCTGCATGTATGCCTGCACACCAGAAGAGGGCACCAGATCTCATTACAGATGGTTGTGAGCCACAATATGGTTTCGGGAAATTGAACTCAGGACCTTTGGAAGAGCAGGCAGTGCTCTTAACCATTAAGCCATCTCTTCAGCCCCTAGAATTTCTAATCTAGAATAAGAAATCTATTTACAAATTATCTTCTTCCACTCTCATTTATCCAGTGCTTTACACCATCAATTCTTACCTTCTTGTAATGTTTGACTCAGCCAATAACTGAGCCTCAGTAAGATTGCCTCATCACTGACACAATTAATATAGTGAAGTAGCAGAGAGCTGTTCAGCACTGAGATCATCTGAGAAGGCAGCTGTAAAGATGAAACAATCAGTCACCAGTAAGTGTATGAATTGTAGGTCACAGCAATCAGCAAAACATTACATAGGATACATACAAAACTAGAGGATCTGGGCCCGAGATAGGCTCAGTTTAGAGTATTTCTGTAGCATGTGTGAGGCTGAGTTCAATCTTAAGTACTAAAAATAAAAGAGGCTACCAAACAGAAAGTTGGAATCAGTACCTGCTCCAGTCACATACCTCTAAGCAATGAATGTTCTGCAAAAGTTGAGGGAAACTTTGAAGCTGTTCTATCGGAAGTGATATTTCACTCCTGAGAAAATCAGAGAGATGCTTCTTTCCCCTGCATTCTATGTTAGCAGAATTTAGTGCTGGTATAACTGAGTGAGAACTCCATTTCTAAAGGTGAAAGATAACACAATAAAAAGACAATCTAAACAAATAAAAGCAAGTCAGATGTGGTGGTACACTCCTTTAATCCCAGCACTCAGAGACAGTCTACATAGCAAGTTTCCAGTCATCTGAGGCTATACTTTAGAAAGATACAATCTCAAAAATAAATAAACAAAATCAGTTGTTAAGATGTTTCACTTAGTGGGAGTCTGAATGTGGTTTGCACAGAATACTAGGTTATCAAAATCTATTAAATACCTAAGATCACCACCATCTGAATTGTTACTATTTTTTAAAATAACTTATTTAACATTTATTTTACACACATTGGAGTGAAGGTATCAGATCCCGTGGAACTAAAGTTACAGACAGTTGTGAGCTGCCATGTGGGTACTGGGGATTGAACCCAGGTCCTTTGGAAGAACAGCCAGTGCTCTTAGCCAATGAGCCATCTCTCCAGCCCAATTGTTACTATTTTTAAAGCCATGAGTCCTTTGTTGTTTTAGATTACTTACTCTTTTTAGAGAGCGGCCTTTACTTGGACCTAATATCAGCTTTGGAGGTTCTGGAAAAGCTCCTTGGTTTCTTTGCTTCACAGCAATCAGAGCTGAAGCCCAAAGATTCTTTGAATTATTAAAATAGATCTGCAAATTTAGGTGTACAGAAGATTAGGTACTTATGAGCCAGAGCAACATAATAAGAGTCCCAAACTATTAACTGATTGCATATTAGTTATAAAATATTTACACTCTTATAAATCCATTTAAGGTTTTTTATCTCCTAATCAGGAATCTATTATAATGCATCAAAGGGATCAACACAAAGGGCCAATCTCTAATACAACTTATCCCAAAAGAGTTGGGAAAGATTTTAGCCCAAATCTTTAAATTAACATTCTAAAAAATAATGCATTTTACAAGGGGTTGTGGTGTACATCTGTAATCCCATCATTTGGGAAAACAAGAAAGGACCATACCAAAACACCTTCTCAAACAAAACAAAGTAAGCAAAAATGTATTCACTCTCACCAGGACTTATCTTTCAGTAATCTCTTACCTTCCTCCTTACAGGCAAAGATACAGAAATCAAAGTGGGAGCAAAGAACTTATACAGCGACAACAAGGCTTGGAGGTGAGGCTGCATTCCCTGAAATAAAGTAAGAACTTTCCATTTTTCAATTCAATGTCAAATACAAACTAAAAGCTAATAGTAAATAAAAGGTGGTTTAAAAAAAAAAAAAACTAAGTCTAAAGCCGGGCAGTGGTGGCGCATGCCTTTAATCCCAGCACTCAGGAGGCAGAGACAGGTGGATTTCTATGAGTTTGAGACCAACCTTGTCTACAAGAGCTAGTTCCAGGACAGCCTCCAAAGCCGCAGAGAAACCCTGTCTAGAACCCCCACCCCCCCAAAAAAAAACCAAAAAACTAAGTCTAAACCTTTAGACTCTAATTTTGCAATGTGCCACAACAATAAAAAGCTATAGAAAATATAGAAATGAGTAACCACTTGGATGTGGTGGCACATACCTTCAATCCCAACAAGCAGGAGGTAGAAGTAGAAATGGAACTCCATATGAGTTCAGGACCAGCTGGTCTACATATACAGTGCCAGGTTACTGTCATCGTGATTCCAGGCAGGGTCATTTGAAGAATCTTTATTTAGAAAATGCCTCCCATAGGATCATTTAATGCACCAATCTGGAGGGTGGTTTTCTTGATTGATGATTGATATTTGGGGCCCCAGGCCATTGTGAGTGGGGCCAACCCTCGGCAGGTGGTCTTAGGATGCATAAGAAATAGGCTGTGGGGCTGGAGAGATGGCTCACATGTTAAGAGCACTGGCTGCTCTTCCAGAGGTCCTGGGTTCAATTCCCAGCACCCACACGGTGGCTTATAATCATCTGTAAGGGAATCCTAACCCCTCTTCTGGTGTGCAGGCATACATACAGACAAAGCACCCACACACATAAAATACAGGAATAGATAAATCTTTTAAAAAAAAAAAAAACATAGGCTGAGCAAGATGAAATAAACTCTTTCCTCCCCAAAGTGTTTTTAGTCACAACAATAAAAACCCTAAGACATGGTCTCAAAAAAAATATAGAAAATAAGAACAACCAGATAATTTGTACCAACAATCTTGAAACAAACTTCCCCATGGATGATCTTCTATTTTATAACTGTTTTCTTGTTTACTTCTTCCACGTATTTTTCTCAATTCTTCTACCTGTATTTTAGTCTTGCAACTCATATTTGCTAATACAGCATGGGTTTTTCAGAATGGCAACTTACTCTATCTTCAGTGTTTATTAATCTTTAGAGCGGGAGAGATAGATTAGCTGTTAAAAGCACTGGATACTCTTGCA